CTAAAAAGTTAAAGAAGACAAAAGACTTGTAAACTCATTTTAAGCTTGGAAGTATTATCCAAGCATTACCCTAATTCCAGAACCAGATAAGGACACTACACAGAAAGAAAATTATAGGCCAATAACCCTGATGAACATAGATGCTAAAATCATCAAAAAAATATTAACAAACCAGATCCAGCAATACTAAAAAGATCATACACCATGATCAAGTGGGATTTATCCTGGGGATGCAAGTTCAGTACAATATCCACAAATCAATAAATGTGACACACCCCATAAACAAAATGAAAGATAAAAATCATGTATTTATATCAATATTTTTTTAAATTGATAAAATCTAGCACCGATTTATGATTTAAAATCTTAGCAAAGTGGGAATGAAGGGCACATAAATCAATGTAATAAAGGCCATATATGACAAAAATCACTCAATTGTCAAAACCTGCAAGGGTTTTTTTTTTAAGATTTTTTTTTAGATTTTATTTATTTATCTTTAGAGGAGAAGGGAAGGAGAGAGGGAGAGAAATATCAATGTATGGTTGCTTCTCGTGAGTCCCCTGCTGGGAACTGGCCTGCAACCCAGGCATGTGCTCTGACTGGGAATCAAACCACGATCGTGTGGTTCGCAGGCCCGCACTCAATCCACTGAGCTACACCAGCCAGGGCTAAACCTGCAAGGGTTTTGATTAAGATCAGAAACAAGACAAACATATCTACTGTCACCACTCTTATTCAACATAATACTGGAAGTCTTAGCCACAGCAATCAGAAAAAAAAAAAAAAAGAAAAGAAAAGGCAACCAAATTGAAAAGAAATAAAACTGTCATTATTTGCACATTACATGATACTATATATAAAGATCTCTAAATATTCTACCAAAAACTACTAAAATAATAAATGAATTAAGTAGTAAAATAAAAAATAAATATCCAGAAACCAGTGCCATTTTATATACCAATAATGAGCTATCAGAAAGAGAAACTAAGAACACAATCCCATTCATAGTTGCATCAAAAATATAAGTACCTAGGAATAAACTTAACCAAGGATGTAAAAAACTTGCTCTCGGAAAATTGTAAAACAATAAAGAAAGAAATTGTCATTTAATTCTGCTCTGATCTTGGTTATTTCCTTCCTTCTACTTGCCCTTGGCTGTCTTTGTTGTTGTTCCTCGAGTTCTTGTAGGCATAGTGTTAGGTTGTTTGTTTTAAATGTTTCTATCTTTTTTAGGTAGGCCTGTATTGCTATGAACTTCCCTCTAAGGACTGCCTTCATTGTGTCCCATAAATTTTGGGTTGTCATGAGTTCATTTTCATTTGTTTCCAGAAACTTTTTGATTTCTTCCCTAATTTCATTCTTGGCTCATTCATTGTTTAATATTATGCTATTCAATGTCCATGATTTTGAATGTTTTGGATCTTTTCTCTTGGGGTTGGTTTCTACTTTCAGTCCCTTGTGATCAAAGAAAATGCTCGAGATGATTTCAGTTTTCTTGAATTTGTTGAGGCTTGTTTTATGTCCTATCATGTGGTCTATCTTTGAAAATGTTCCACGCTCATTTGAAAAGAATGTGCATTTAGCTTCTTTGGGATGAAGGATTCTATATATATCAGTTAAGTCCATTTCATCTAGGATGTTGTTCAATTCCACAATATCTTTGTTGATATTTTATTTGGAAGATCGGTCCAATAATTAAATAAAATAAAGTAAAATTTTATCACACAAAAATAAAATAACTGTACCAAAAAAAGAAATAAATTGAAGAAGATACAAATAAGTAAAAGCATGTACCATATTCATAAATAAGAAAAACTAATATCATCAAAATGTCCATACTGTGCAAAACAACCTATAGATTCAATGCAGATACTATGAAGATGTCAATGGCTTATTCCACAGAACTAGAACAAATATTCCAAAAATTCATATGGAAACACAGAAGACCCCAATAGAAATGGCAATCTTGAGAAAGAAGAACAAAGTAGAAGAGTCATGCTACCTAATATCAAATTATAATACAAGGCCATAGTAATCACAAGTGTATGGTACTGGCATAAAAACAGACAGATCAGTGGAATAGAATAGAGAGCCCAGAAATACCCTGTGTTATTATGGGCCTACATCAAACTAAAACACTTTTGCACAGCCAAGGAAACCATCATCAAAATGAAAAGACATCTCACTGAATGGGAGAAAATACTCACCAATGATACACTGTTATGAGTTGAATATCTAAAATTTATAAGGAAATCATAAAACTTAACACAAAGAAAGCAAACAATGCAATTAAAAAATGGCCAAAGAACCTGAATAGACATTGCTCCAAAGAGGGTATACAGAGGGCCAATAGATTTATGAAAGGATGCTCAACATCACTAATTATCAGAGAAATACAAAGTCAAACCACAATATGACATCATCCCACACCTATCAGAATGACTATCATCAATAATGAACGAACAACAACGTTGGCAAGGATGTGGAGAAAGAAGAACCCCTGTGCATGACTGGTGGGAATGCAGATTGGTACAACCACTGTGGAAAGCAGTATGGAGTTACTTTAAAAACTAGAAATCGGACTGCCTTATCGCCCAGCTATTTCACTTCTGGGAATGTATCTGAAGAAACCCAAAACACTAATTCAAAAATATACACTTACCACTATGTCCATTACAACGTTACAATAGCCAAGATTTGGAAGCAGCCCAAGTGTCCATAAGTGGATGAGTGGATAAAAATATGTGGTACAATTACACAATAGAATACTACTTGGCTGTAAAAAAAAAAAAGGCAATTTTACCTTTTGTGACAGCATGGATAAACTTGGAGAGTATCATGCTAAGTGAAATAAGCCAGTCAGAGAAAGACAAATACCATACGATTTCACTATTATGTAGAATCTAATAAATGATAGAAATCAAAATAGAAACAGACTCATAGATACAGACAACAGACTTACAGTTGTCAGATGGGAGGAGGGTTGAGGGCACTAGATGACTAGATGAAAAAGTGCACAGGGATTAAAAAACTCTTAGACGCAGACATCAGTATGGTGATTGCCAGAGAGAAAGAGGGTGTGGGGAGGTATAACAAGGTAAAGAGGGATAAATGGTGATGGAAAAAGATTTGACTTGGGGTGGAACACACAATACAATATACAGATGTATTGTAGAATTAAATATCTTAAACCTATAGAATTGTATTAACCAATGTCACCCCAATAAATTATAAAAAGTAAAATGTGGATTTTTCTCACATGAATAAAATAATGACAAAGACTATGTGATTACTTAAGTAAAACCTATGAGGATGTATAACAAGCAAATTCCTTTTACAAATTACACAATTTACCAATATGCAGAAATTCAAAACTAACAGTAACATGGTTAACATATTTCAGATATAGCTGCAATAAGATAACATTTTCTAAAAGTGAGTATCTGGATTATATATAGATATTGTTTCTGCATACACATAGCCTATAATCTGGAATCTGTTATATTAAGTACCATTTTTAAAGCAATAAAAGCTTCAACTTTTTTTTCTGTTTTAAGTCAAATATTGGGCAGGAAGTTATTTAGACTGACCAAAGAAAGCACTAAGTCATTTAAAGGAATACTTGAAATCAAATGCTTGTTTTCAAGTCCTTTATCCACTTTTTGACAAATTGAGGTTTTCACACAAAACTCTCAGTTCAATAAAAACAAACTGATTTGACTAATCATTAAATCTATTAAGCTGTTTACTATTACATTCATTAGAAAGAGCACTGTTTGTGTTAACTATCTTTTCAGTTCGATTCAGCTGAAGTTTGTGTGTCCATAGCTCTCTGCACATGACTCATTACCACACTTTTCAGTCTGCACTCAAATAACTATGCGATCAATGTCCATCTGTTGGACTGACTGTCACCTCCTTATGCCAAAGAACCTGGCATAGGTTAGGTCTCAAAATGTAGTCAGTAATTTGTGAATCATCTGTGTTTCAACAATTTCCACCTGGTTGAATATATATATTCAGGAATATATTTTCCTTTGTTTATATATATAAACAAATGAAAATAAAAAGACCATATAAAAGATACATGCTTATTATTTTGAAAATTGTTTGTAAATCCTTATTTGAGTGTATATGTTCACGTATACTGAAACACATAAATCCTTTTTAAACATAAAACAGAAGAATAAATTAGATCATAAACAAAAGAAAGATTAAATGGAACTAAAATATGCTATTTACCTGATGTTAAAGAGTAACCTTAGATATGAAAATTTAGAGTTTAAATTTAGAAGTCTCTTATTATTTAAAAAATATGTATCATTCTTGGTTATATTTTGGGTAAGGACTTTTCAAATCGGAAGGCATTCCCCTCATAACCTAAAATGTTTCATGCATATTCATTTAGATTCCTAAGAGGATCTCATTATCTCATCCAAAAAAAGAATTAATAATCCTTAATGGTTTCCGATGACACTTTGTCTTTGTCCCTTTCTCAACTGTGCAGATGACTTTAAGCATACAAATGTTTCTGCTCATGCTTTGACCTCTAAAGTCTGATGAACAATCACAGGATTAAAAAGAAATTGTTCTTCCTACACTCATGAATTTTGTATTCCATTTCACACATAGAAAAAAGAAATGTACCTAGCTTTACTTTAAGTATTTGAACCATAGTTTTAGAACCAAAAATAAAGAAGCAAATTAAGAAAAGTTCACTTGAGTCACAGAGAAAAACAGAGTACTGATTATGAAAGACTCTAAGTCCTTATAGGATTTGCAACTTGTTCCTAAGAGCAATAGGAAATCACAGAAGAGTTATTAGAAATGAGCAAATCGAACAGATTTTGGGTTCAAATACAATTGCACTCTCACACAGTTCTCTCATCTCTTAAATGAACATAAAAATGACTACCTCATTACATTGTAAAATGAAGTGAATGTAAATGACTTAGTATGATACTTGACACCTAATAAACACACACACACATATTTTTTATCATTTTCTTTCTTGTATGTATCAAAACTCATACCAAACAATGAGTTCTGGGTTGCAAAAGAGGATTTATTTTCTGCACCTGTATGCAATGTAGTCTTTGCCCACAAATTAAGCAAAAACAAACATAAGTGCTATAATACACACATATTAATATATCCAGTTCAACAGTTTATGTCGAAGTGCATGCTATGTATTAAAATAAACCCTTGATGGTTACAGAGGACCTGAGTGGGGACAGGGCATGGCCTGATTTCATTCTTCTTCCCATTCTATTTGGTTACAGTGAAGAGTCAATCTTCGTCTGGTTTCGATATGAAAACAATTTCTTACATTGCAAGGCCTAAATCCTCTGCTGTTGAGTAGTAGGTAGGGAGAGAAAAGACAGGCAGATGCCTGGTCATCTGTCTGGATTGAGACTGCATTCCTGAGCTCACACTGGCTCTATTTTTGTGTATACCTCAGGACATTGAGCAATATGGTGGCCTCATACAGACTGCCTGTGATTTTCTTGGGATGGATTCATCTTCACCTCAATCCCATTGAAAACTGAAAACTTTCTCAGAGGATGGTAGCTGCCTGTCTGCATTGGCTGACAATGGCCCAACACGGAAGCACTCCATTAATAGTATGTTGCTTTATTCAGCTGTCACCAGGAGAGTTCAAAAGCTTTTGTCTCCTCCTTCATCCACAGTGTTCTTCCTATAGAAACATGTCAGTTGCTAAAATCATTCTAAGAAACCTAGAGTGGCAAAGACATTTTTTTTCTTTCCAAGTACTCTACACCAATTTATAAACAACTGGAGAAAATTTTTTTCCTGAAGCCCTCTCAACTTTGAAGTCTCCTTGTAAGGAATGTGAACCATTCTCTAAATTCGCACACATCCGAGACTCCAAGGAGAGCTATCAAGCTTATTCAAGAACTGTTTCACTCTGTTCCTCTCAGCTGTAATTTGAATAAGTTTGCAAACTGCAACCCAAATAACACCCAACTGGAAGCCAGGAATCTGCTCTCCTCTTCTGCCTGGGATTTCTAATTATGCTTAGCAATTTCCTCCTAGCATAACTTTTCCTGACTAGTGAAAGTATAGAGGTCAGAGGGGTTAGATATTAATACCTTTAGCAATTCACTGCCCTCGTAGCAGGTGATCCCAGACTCTGACTTTTCTGCCTCATCCCCAGGCCCAGATGCCTCCTTATATAGCAGGGTCTGCTGGTAAGGCGAGCAAGGATAGTTCTTCCTTGTTCTGATGATAATGTAGAGGATTTCTCCTAATCATTTTGTGAGGAGGGGGTGGTGGGTATGGCTACTTCTTCACATGAAAATGTAATAAACTAGTGTGAAAACCAAAGGTGGAGATGTAGCTCTAATTTGGACAGTGAAAGAGAACATAAAGGAGCTGAATATTTTAAGCTAAAGCAATGGTCTAAGTCAGAATTCAGATAAAGAATGCATAACTAAAAGGAGGTAGAGAGCAAACCACCCTAATAATCTGTACCTGCTTGTTTGGACTGTTAACACCTAATTTTCCCAAGGCTGATTCATTATTACACAAGATAGCAAAGACATTTTAGAGATCAGGACTATCGCCAGGATCTATGTGCAACATTTTATTCCCTTTTGCATCATGAAGACATGAATTCCGTGTCACAAAGGAGACTTTCTTCATCACTTCATTGGCTTTGTTTTGGGAATCCTGCTGGTTACTCATTTAACTGTTGGCATGGCTCCCACTGAATGCTACAGTTATGGGGGTGACAGCCAAACAAGAATTTTTCTGTTAAAATTACTTTGTTGTTAGAAATAGAAGAAAAAGAAAATCTGATATTTTTTAAAATATACAATCGTATTTCAATTTCCTCTTTTCCTTAATCTTTACTTGAGGCTTTTATTATTTAACTTATTAATTAATAACTCAATTTGATGATTCGAAACTGTCACTAGAACCCATGTATTTATAGTTGCAAATAGTCAAGGAAAGTTATATTTTGTACTATCCTTAGGCGTTATAAATTCCTGAGTGTTATGCAAAGCATTACTAGAATGATTCACACAATGGGGGGTTCAGTTTTTAATAAAAAGTGACTTTTAAATATAATTATAGCAATTAAGATCTTCACATTGGCAGGAAGAGTACTGCTTTGCAGTATTGAGGCTTTGCTTCTGTGATTCCACAGGGCTTATAGTATATCCTACTCTCTCGGTTATGGTTATTTCCAAGTCTCAAGATGATTGAACCTAGAAAAGTAATATACGGAAAGCATGATCCCCAAAACATGTTTGAGGAACTGTTTTGTTTTTTTTACCTAGATAAGCTTTCATTCTCATCATATCCTAGGAAAAGAAAATAAAACAGCAATACATAAAGAGCCAGTAAATATCTCTGTAGCAACCTTGGTAGATAACATTTTGTCTCTATAACATATTATGAATGGCTATTACACTTTAGCTTGGGTACATACTTGAACAATATGTTTTCAACAAATGACATGTTCATTTTCTCAGTCTCTATATGTGATCCTCTTAAGAAAAAAAAACTCATACAGGAATTAAAACTGCCAAAATGCCAAGTATTGTGACAGTTCTATTTATGTGGCAGACCTAATTAAACTTGAAATTTTCCAATATTTTCACTGACATCATTTATGTTGTAATTAACACTTTTTACTGATAAAGACGTTTGTCTTATATCTTGTTATGGTTCACATGACAAAACTAAAATAATAAAACCACAATTATGAAAACTTGCTTGCCACAACTTTGAACAATACTGTTTTATACCTACGTGACAACAAAGGGTAATTAAATGCAGATGGGTATAAAATTGTAGACTCATAAACCACTGCCTAGTGTTTTTACCTTTCTGGAATATTTTAACCATATTTGCAATTTGGCAAGCTATTTAGATGATGGAATTATTATAAACCTATAAAATGTGTATTTTGAGCAGATGGCACAGCAAACTGCAACAGTGTGGATGATGAAGAATCAGAGAACTATATGTAAATATTATGATGACACCTGGAAATCTGTACAATTTCTATAACGTAGCATAATAGTTGGAAACGGATGAGCCTGTAGTCTAACCGACACACACACCTTCTTGGATAAAAACTGTTAAGCTAGGTAATGTTATAAACGCCCAGTAGATAAGTAATCAAACATTTCTTAATATTAGTGCAATATTTGCAGTATGTGTTTCTAAATTTTAATTTTACCCAAATTTATTTCAATAAGATATATTATAAAGAAGTAGAGCTCCATCCGTGATCGGTGTGGCTCAGTTTGGTGGGCATTGCTCCAGAAAGTGAAAGGCTGTTGGTCTGATTCCTGGTCAGGCACAGGCGTAGGTTATGGGTTTGGTCCCAGGTTGGAGCACCTACCAGAGGCTACTGATCAATGTTTGTTTCTCACATGGATGTTTTTCTCCCTCTCTTTCTTCTTCCCTTTTCTTTTCTCTAAAAATAAATGAATTTTTTTTTAAAAGAAAGAAATAGAGCTCCATTTATGGTAGTTTTCCTTTAAGTTGAATGAGGTTGGAACAATGGGAAAAAATGACATTCTACCTTATTGGTCATCATAAAAAATGGGGAGAAAAAGACATAGCCATTAAAGATGATTTGATCTGTTCTATTGATGGGCAGAGTATAAAACGCTGAAAACTGTACCTCAAGTTGGCACAGTTCACTGATAGCAAATTTGCTGTGAATGATGATAATTTGTACTGAAAGAAATTAGTGCCAATTTGATTAGGAATCACCCTTCTGTTCAGATTTCACTGGCTAATATATCCTGTCATAGTTATGGCTTTATCTAGGATCTAAGAATAAAACAAAAATGGCTCAGAGAGAAAAAAAGAATGATTACAGGGAGCATTCTACTCCTTTTGTTTGCATTCTTTTTAGACCAAGAGGTAGAACACAGAAAAAATATTTATTTTACATTTTATGAAAAACTATACATTTTCTCCACCTGCGGGGCATTATGAAAATTCATCTTAAGCTTGAATGGGATATGAAATGAAAACATTTCTAGCTGCTGTTTTCATTTTACAAGTGAGAATAATTGATCTTCACTTTTTTGAAAAATAACTTTTATGCAGAACATATTAGAATTTGTAAAGCGTTTTGACAACTTTAACTCTACTTAATTTTCACAATTAGGATGAAGTCATAGGAACATTAAGATTCACAGAATCCAGGTCCTCATGACCAGTGCACTTCACTGTACTAAACTCTCCCACACCCGTGGCAGGAAATGGGGTCACCATAACAGCCCTAACGGGCTCGCCTTCCATCAGTAAGTCTTCACAATTCTTTTAAGCCTTTGGTGAGATTCTATAAACAGATATCATTCAATATTTTTTAACAATTTCATGTCTATGATATCAAGAAAGTGTTGGCTTGCCATTATTTATTATTAGTTGATAAAGTTTATGTCACTTCTACCTTGAGTTTTCAAATATTTATTTGTGTGTATTCAATTGAAACCTATGAAACTTTAATTTGTCATGTAAATCAATTGAGAAGTCAATTTTTTTAATAAAATATTATACAAGATGGGAAAGGATCAGGCAATGGGGAAGAAATACAATAATACCAGGCCTGTCCACAAAGTATCCAGCCATGCAAATATGAACAGAGCCATTTATTTCAGAATATACAAGAAGCACTGTACATAGGGCAATGACACCTCAGTCCCCTTCAAAGTAGGCACACCTCAGCACCTCACAGAGTTCTCCCAATCTCCATCAAGTGCCCTGTCATACTTTTCCTGAATTTCATCAATGGCCTAAAATCTTTTCCCTTTCAAAGGTGATTTTAGATTTGGGAAAAGCCAGAAGTTACAAGGTGCTAAATCTGGGTTGTAGGAGGGCTGAGTCACCTGGGTGATTTGATGTTTCACCAAAACTCTGCACAAGATGTAATGCATGAGTGGGCACTTAGCATGAGATAAGATTACTCTATCCAGCAAAGCTACCATTTAGAATGGAAGAGCAGATAAAGTGCTCCACAAATAAGGTCAAGTTAAGGGAATTCATCATCACCAAGCCCTTATTATATGAAATGTTAAAGGGACTTATCTAAGGAAAAGAAGACTAAAACTATGAACAGTAAAATGACAACAAACTCACA